AGAATAATTACTTCCCTGAATCTGTGGTTTTCTGCAATCGTCTTTACTCTGGATGGGGAAGAGACCAATAGTTCTATCTTAGATGGGTGCTTGTAAATTTTTAAGACCCCAGACACTATTCACCATACTAGGATTAGAACATTCTCTTTGTAAACTATGTTACACCTGTTGATGCTCCTGAAACTATGGTCCTTAGCTTTCAAGCCCAGTGGCTTCAAATTCCTCAAGGTATTTAGTTATGTTTAAGAAGTTTGGTCTGGATTACATTTCAATGTAAAGAAAGTAAAACTCCTCACCACTGGACCAATAAACAACATTCTTATCAATGGAGAAAAGATTGAAGTTGCCAAGGACTTCATTCTTCTTGGATCAACTATCAACACTCATGGAGGCAGCAGTCAAGAGATCAAACGACGTATTGCATTAGGCAAATCTGCTGCCCAAGACCTTTTTAAAGTGTTGAAGAGCAAAGATATCAGCTTGAGGACTAAGGTGTGCCTGACCCAAGCCATGGTATTTTCAATCACCTCATATGCATGCGAAAGCTGGACAGTGAATAAGGAAGATCGTAGAAGAATTGATGCCTTTGAGTTATGGTGTTGAAAAAGAATATTGAAAGTTCCATGGGCTGCCAAAAGAACCAATAGATCCATTTTGGGAGAAGTGCAGCCAGAGTGCTCTTTGGAAGCCAAGATAGCCAAACTTTGTCTCTCATATTTCGGACATATTGTCAGGAGAAGGATATCATGTTTGGTAAGGTGGAGTGTCAGAGAAAAAGAGGAAGACCCCCAACGAGATGGATTGGCCAAGTGGCAGCATCGATGGACTCAAGCATGGCAACAGTAGTGAGGTTGGCCCAGGATCGGGCAGTGTTTTGTTCTGCTGTGCATAAGGTCGCTATGGATTGGTACCGAGTCGATGGCACCTAACAACAACAAAGAAGTTTCTATAACTGTGCCCCCATGTGGTCTATATGAATAGATATGCAGCACATACAAACATGTATGTAGAAATACCCACAACTATACCTATATGCAAGGAGCTCTGGTAGCTTAGTGGTTACGAATTGAGCTGTGAACCTTAAGGTCAGCGGTTCAAAACTACCAGTCGCTCTGCGGGAGAAAGATGAGGCTTTCTACTCCTGTACACCCTCGGAAATCCTGTACAGGGTCTCTATGGGTCGGAATCGACTCGACGGCACTTAACAACAACAACAACATACCTATATGCATGCAGGTTTAGTCCTGTATGATCCCCTACACATATTTAGCGTGCCTATCTACTTATGTATCCACTCACAAATTATTGTTTGTTATTACTGTTGATGCAGAATTATATATGGTATAGTGTTTATGGTATGTTGTTAAGTGCTGTTGAGTCAGTTCCAACTCATAGCCACACTTTACAGGGTTTTCAAGAAGCAGCTGGTGGGTTTGAATCACTGACCTTGTGGTTAACAGTCCAGTTCTTATCCTACAGTGCCACATCAGGAGTCCACTTCGACTAGGCATTGTTGTTGTTAGGTGCCATTGAGTCGGTACTGACTCATAGTGACCCTACGCACAACAGAAGGAAACTGTGCCTATTCCTGGGCCAACTTCACAATTGTTGCCACACTTGAGCCCATTGATGCTGCCACTTTGCCAGTCCATCTCTCTGGGGGTCTACCTCTTTTTCTCTGACCCTCCACATGATATCCTTCTCCAGCGACTAGTCCCTCCTGACAATATGTCTGAAGTATGAGAGACAAAGTTGGGCCATCCAGGCCTACAAGGAGCACTATGGCTGCACTTCTTCCAATATAGATGTTTGTTCTTTTGGCAGCCCATATTCTCTTCCAACATCTTAACTCAAAAGCATCAATTCTTCTACGGTCTTCCTTATTCACTGTACAATGTTCGCATGCATATGAGGCATAGGGAACTTAAATGTCCAAAATTGAGCTTTTAGTGTTTTCTTAGTCCCACCTTTCATGTCTTTTTAGCATGGTAAAAGAACTCATTCTTCCAGGTCTTTAGGCCACAGACCTTTTCTTTTTCATCCTAGCTACATCCAACCTGTCAGAATTTGAAGTGATCCTTTAACGTGTTAATCATCATGTCACTTCCCTGCTCAAAACTTTCCAATGGCTTACTATTTCACTCAGACCAAAAATAGTAACAAATTGCTGTCCCCTCTGTTCAGAATTCCTTTTCCCTAAATAGATACAGAAGTAGATTGCCTGCTCTTTTACCAGGTGGGTTTGAACTGCCAACGTTTCCTTTAGCAGCCGAACATTTACTCATTTCAAACTGCCCCATAGGGCTTCCAAGGCTATAAATCTTTATGGAAGCAGACTGCCACATTTCTCCAGAAGAGCGGCTAGGGTGTTCAAACCACTGACCTTTCAATTGGCATTGAGTGTTTACCACTGCACCACCAGGACTACTTCAACTTGTTGTGTTAAGTACCTTGGATTCGATTTGGACTCAGCTACCCTGTATAGGATTTTCAAAGAGTGACTGGTGGGTTTGAACTGCCGATCTTGTGGTTAGCAGTCCAGTGCTCATCCTCCAGTGTCTCACCAGGGCTCCAGAATCCTATGAGAAAGTTTTCCTCTATCACATGATGTCACTGTAAGTTCGATCAACTTCAGGACACCTAACAACATGTCTAGTTGATACCCAAGTGGAGATAACAAATAAACAATTGATTCTGGAGTTCAGGAGAAAGTGGGTTAGATATTTAATTTGTGAGTCTGTGTATGAAATGGACAAGCTCTTTCATATTCACTGGTAGCATTGTGGTTAAGTACTCGGCTTCTAATCAAAAGGAACCCACCAGCCATTCTGTGGGAGAAAGACCTTGCAGCGGTCTGTTTCCTAAAGATCTGCAGCTTTGAAAATCTACTCTGTCCTATAGTGTCGCTATGAATCGAAATTCCACTCGCGGGCAATGGGCTTCGAGTTTTTTTTGTTTGTTTGTTTTTGGCTTTTGTGGGAATGGCCGGAATGCCTAAGAAGCCCGTTGTTGTTGTTAAGTGCCATCGAGTCGGTTCCGACCCATAGCGACCCTGTACAGGGTTTCCGAGGCTGTAAATCTTTACGGGAGCAGAAAGCCT